TCTCAGAAGACGTCACTGCCCTTCTGAAAATTACAATTCATCAAATCTGTCTAAATAGAGTCTGATCCACCCACTGCATTCAGTAATCTCTGAACCAATTTGCATCATTTCCAAATACCTTAATAAGGCCAGGAAATGCTAACCGCTGAGTGTTTCATTTCTCAGAATTGTTCCTCACTTCCCTGTCCAGTAGCCCATGGTCTGTAAGCAAGCTCGTAAGCCCCCAAGGTGATGGTCCCAAGCCTGCATGGAGAGCCTCCTGGTGCGTGTTTACCCTCCACAGATGCCCAGGGCATAGACTTACGATAGGTGGGGGGGAGGCTTAAAATAATCCTGTGCAAATTGCACTGTCTAAATATAGGTGGAAATGTACAAGGATTACCAGGCAGAGAGAAATGGCTATTTTGGCATTAAAGTAGAGCTTTTGTATTTGGGGAAAAAATTAGGGAAATTTTAGACTAGGCCTGTGAGGGATGGAGGGGGTGATTTGATGCTTCAATACACACAATAAGAACTGAGGTGTGGCTCAAGTGGCAGAGAGCCTGCCTAGCAAGCATGAGGTCCAGAGTTCAAACCTTAGTGCCACAAAAAGGAAACAAATACTCACAATAATATTGAATTATTATTGAACCAATATTCTTTTAATCCCTTTCATTATCTCAAAGAGCATCCGGGTTCAGTGTTTATGTCTCTTAGTGTCTTTCAACACTGCAGATCTTTAGTGGACACTGGGACACCACAGACACCCAGCATTGTAAACTCCTCTTCTTGTTTTATTCATTGCATTAGCTATTTTGATTATCTTCTCTTAGGGCAGGTAACACTAGAGTTCCATTTGTCAGTAGTGAAATACAGTTTCCTTTAAAAACAGTGGAAGTTTAGCTACAAGATGTAGGCACAGGCAATGACTTCCTGAATACAACTCCAATAGGCCAGGAAGCAAGAGCAAGAACTGACAAGTGGGGTTGCATCAAATTAAAAAGGCTTCTGGGGCTGAGTGTGTAGCTCAAGTGGTAGAGAGCCTGCCTAGCAAGCGTGAGTCCCTGGGTTCAAACCCCAGTACCACCAAAAAAAAAAAAGTCATGATGAAACCCATTAAAAATGTACACCAAAATAGTGTAAGTTTAAAAAAAGTGAGACAATTTAACAAAAATAATTAAGTGAATAATTGGAGAGGTAACAAATTGACAGAGCAAAAGCTAAACTCCTGATAGATTATGCCAGGAGAAGCTGGACCAGAAAATCTCCAGGTTTCAAAGGATTCTTCTGTGAATCACCCAACAAAGCTGAGGACCAGGTGCTTATGCACAGCTGTTTCTTCTCCATTTTTAAGTATGGTGAATTCAAAGCTGTGCGTGTCAGGGTCACTGGAAGTTGGACACATGTTTTGATTTCCTTGGAAGCAACAGAATATAAAAAGCTTCAAAGACAAATTTTCATAATAGCAACTATCCTTATTGATACTCCTGCCATTTACAAACGTCTTTCCCATACCTTCTAGCATTTGTATGTGCCCTGAAATTTCCAGTTCTCTTCCCTTCTCTCGTTAAACGGCTGTGTGACCTGAGGCCAGTTACTTAACCTCTCAGGGCCTTGGTTCCTCCAGTTTGGCTCAGTACCAGGGTCTTAAGTGTGTCAGTGGCCAGGTGACCTGACTGCAAATACCTGGCTGCAGAGATGCAGGCTAGAATTGGTAGAGAACTTGTCCACTCTGCGTTGGATCCCAGGGTTAAATGTCACATAACACTAATGGCAAATGGTATGGGATAATTTGGGGTGAATTCATTCTCCCATTGTACCACCTTATAGAGTTCAGGCTTATGGAAGGGACTCTTTAGTCCCAAGAGCCAAGAGATTGCTTGGGCTTTAGGGACTCCGGGAAGAAGCACTGTGTCCCCAAATCTTATTACGGAAGGGCTAGGGCAGGGGTTGAGGGAACACTGGTTGGCAGGAGCATTGTGAGGCCCAGTCCTAGAAGGTCCTAGGAGGGCCTTCCAGCTGTATGGAAGTCATGCATCACTGGCTGGGGCCAGCAGCCCCCTTGCTCACCAGAGCAGAGGAGACATCAGCCTGGTGCTGAGTGGGACTGTGGTACTGGCTGTGGGTCTCAGAAGGTAGCTGGGAAAACTGGGGGTCCAGAGAGCAGGTGAAGGCAGTGTGGGACAGAAGGAATTCCCAGACTGGCTTTTAAGTGCTTCCTACACACACACACACACACACACACACACACACACAGAGCGTGTGGCACAAGGGGAGTCAATGTATCAAGTGCCTTCTGTGTCCCAAGAACTGTCTTAGGAATCTTTAACCTGTACTATTTCAGTTACTCCTTGTGTAAAGCTAATCTGATAGACGAGGAAATTAATGCTCAGAGTGGTTAAGTTACTTTCCCAAGGTGACTCAGCTAATAAATGACGGAGGTGGGACTGAGTCCAAATCATCTGTTCTTTTCCTCTTTTGCACTACTCTATATCATATTGCATAGTACATAGCAAAAAACAAACACGTGCAAAATGCATACGTCTACAAAGGCATTTTACACACTCACACCTCATTCCCGGTGTACATATACACACATATATATGCACTGAAATTCCTATACTAAGTGCCACATTCGTCATGAACACAAGTACTCATGTTTTGCACTCACAGATCTATGTGACACAAGCACTTCATATCCCATGTGCACTCTGCTCTCAGCACACACCCACTCCACACCCATCCATTGTAAACACAACACACATACGCATCATGCCTAGGAACCTGCACACATCACAGAAATTCACCTACACCCATAGCTGCACACGTAGAATCGGAAAATTCTTCTGTCTCTCATCCAGTCCATGGAAACTGGCTCCCTGGGGTATGAATAAAGCATCTTCAGGTTACTAAACACGTGCATCTAAGTAATCCTGGAGCACCTTCCAAATCTTCAAAGGAATACAGATGTATTTGTATTACTGTATATAATTGCCTAATTATTTTTAAATGATTAATCCATATATAAATATTTCTGAACACTTCCTACTAGTCAGGATATTTGACTAATTAAAGTAGCATATTATTCATTCATTCTTTCACTGTGCAATTACTGAGCACCAATTAAGTTTGAGACACCATGGTAGACACAGTGGGAGATTAAGAGAACAAACAAACAATAAATAAAACCACCATCATCCCTGCCCTTATATGCAAATAACAAATAACTGTATTACAAGGAGGCTCACAGCTTGACAAGACCTGGCAAGTGAAGGGTGAGAGGAGTGGTGGAACAGGGGACAAGTAGGGCCTGAAGCATTTAGCCCCAGGGAATGGAGATGTCCTGGTGTCCTCCCAGAGACTGATCTGGAGTGCACCTTTGTGGAGGAAGCTGAGCCTTCTGTCTGGGAGGTGAAATGGAGGTCCTCAGGACCCCAGAAGCTTGCAGATGAGTGGCAAGGGTGCAGGTGGAACCTCCACTGGAGCAGATCACTAAACAGTTACAACTAAGGTGATCAGAAAGGAGGCAGGCAAAGAACAAGGGAAGTTGAGTGCAAATCCTTAGAGAACACATGTCCTGTTTGACTGGGTGACATAGCTTTTGTCTCACACACACACATACACACACACAGCTCTCTCTACCTCTGCACTTCCTCCAACATATCGGCCCCCATGCACATGACAGTGGCACAAAGCTCTGGCCACCTCTCGGGTATAATTTCAGGATTAGGCTACAAAGCAGCCCCAATGATAGTTCTTCAGCCCTCCAGCCTCCGATACTGACTTCACACCTTTGAGAGCTTGGCATCAGGAGGCCACTGCTTTAGACATTACTGATTTATACTTTGCGCTGTGAAGGACCTGGACTGCTCTGAAGCAAGGTGAGGCATCTCCAGAGCTGATGTCTCATCACCCAACTCTTTATTTTTTATTTTATTCTTATGTGCATACAATGTTTGGGCCATTTCTCCCCCCTTCCCCTTACCCCCTCCCTTACTCCTCCTCTCCTCCCCACCCCCTCGCTACCAGGCAGAAACTATTTTGCCCTTATCTCTAATTTTGTGAAGAGAGAGTATAAGCAATAATAGGAAGGACCAAGGGTTTTTGCTAGTTGAGGTAAGGATAGCTATATAGGGGGTTGACTTGCATTGCTTTCTGTACATGTGTGTTACCTTCTAAATTAATTTTTCTTGAACTAACCTTTTGTCTAGTTCCTGGTCCCCTTCTCCTATTGGCCTCTGTCACTCTAAAGTATCTGCATTAGTTTCTCTGTGTTGAGGGCAACAAATGCTATCTAGTGTTTTAGATGTCTTACCTATCCTCACCCCTCCCTTGTGTGCTCTCACTTTATTATGTGATCAAAGTCCAATCCCCTTGTTGTCATCAGCAACTCTTGACACAAGGAGGTGGGGCCACTGATTCACTCTGAGACCTATGCGGTCCCTTCCACTAGCTGGGCCTCAGTTGTGCATTTTCTAACGAGTTCATTTCATGAAACTGAGGTCCTGTAAGCTTAAACATACAAGCCTGATAGAGGTTCTCTGGAGCCCTGACGTTTTAGACACCTAATTTGCATCTCCAAGTGGATAAGACTTTGGCAACTTTTTTTTTTAAATCAGTAACTGATTCTAGAGAGAAATCATGAGGATTTTTGTGTCTCTAAGGTCCTTTCTGTTCCATGGACCTGTGAGAGGACAGGTATTCCGAGCAGTATCAGTCCTACCACCAGGTTCACCCTTCAATCTCCTTTCCTTGGAGACACAGAAGCTATGTGTGATGACTCAAAATCCAGGAGCTGAGGCAGTTTCTCAGCATCAGCCAGACCCTGGCCATCTGCCAGATCCCAGGCTGGCTTGTATTTGGGCTGGGGAAACAATTTAGCCCAGACTCACCTCCTTAGGAACCTATACGACCTGGTCCTCAGGCTAAGAACAGTTCCACAGGAGCTAGAGGAGGCTGGGGTCTGACCATAGCATGAAAAGGGACCTCTGTTAACTCTTTGCCTTCTTCTCTCTTCTTAGCCTTGCTGCTTCTAAGGAGGCTGACGCCGCCCGCTCCGCACCCAAACCCATGTCACCCTCAGATTTTCTGGATAAACTAATGGGGAGAACTTCTGGATATGATGCCAGGATCAGGCCCAACTTTAAAGGTAGGAAAACATTCCTTTCAAAGCCATAGGAAAATGTTTACCCAGATTACAGAAGCAAGCAGTACAGTATTGAATGCAGATGGTAAATTCATGGTATGAATCCCGTATCTCTTTTTCTACTAGACATTGAATAGTAGACATTGTTACTCAATTCAATCTTCGCTCCCACCAAGCCAGACAAAGTATCAGAGAAGGCCACCCAACAGTCAGTACCTCTACTTACTAGGAGTCAGTACCTGAACTCAGATCTAATTGCTACATATGGTATCATACAGAAAGGGTGAAACATGGAATATGAAAATTAGGTTCAAGTTTTATCTTAGACACAAGCTTACTCTCTGAATTGGAATAAGCCTCTGCCTCTCTCTGGGCCTCAGTTTCCTCAGATGGTGTTGGCTACATCTGCAGCTTTAAGCACATGCTTCCTGAAGCTTCTAGAGATTTTCCCAGGAGTCCTGAAAGGGAGAAGGAAGAGATATCAAGCAAATCCACTGTTTCTCACTAGCCAGCTCCACTTCTATTTGCTTTAGATAAGGGATGTCCAACTGAAACTCGCGTGCTTAAAGGTGATTAACAAATAATTTTGAAATTCTCTCATCTAAATCAGAATCACAATTTCAAATGCCTACTGGGATTAGGAAAGTAATTTAAATGAATGAGGTGAGCCAGAAATAAGACAATGGTGGGGAGAGGGGGGATTAAGAGACTGGATAAAAGGAGATGCTGGCTCCTTTTACCCTTCCAAATGCAGAGAACCCCCCTTGGCCCAGCCTGTAGGTTCCCTGTAGGAATGTAGACCCTGTGTTGCCAGACCATCTAGCATTCAAGGAACTTAAAATCAAGACCTATGTGAAACATTTTCATTCCTAAAGCATGTGAATTAAAACAAAATGTGTTTGTGGCCCATAATTTCCAAATTACAAACCCTACTTAGTCCAGACCCTCTGAGAAGTTTCTTTTAGCTCTCAGGCCTATGGGATCTGAATATGTAGCAAGAGGAAAGCAGTACTCTGTGCTCGTGATGCCTCAGAAGGCCATCAAAGTCTTAAACTGCTGAGCAGATGTCTACAGGTACCATCAAGTTCCTCCTGGGAACCCAGGCACTCTGACCTTCCACCCAAGACCCCTGAAAAAATTTTATTCAAAGGACCTGCAGCTTTGGAATCAGTTCCTGATTCTAGATGCCTTCCTCACTGCTCCTTTTGGCTCAAGTCCAAGAGCAAAAAAGAGCTGTGACAGCTGGTAACAGCTTCCTAATATTTGCTTACTTTGTCCCCTGTTCTTCAAGACCCCTTCTCAGAGTGTTGTCTCCACATGGTTCTGCAAATAGAAAGTGAACCAGGAGATGCCCTGAGGCTTGAGTTTGGGTCCACCTCCCACCCATTTACCCCCAGGCTCCCGCACCCCACCCCCTCCTTGCTGTGAGGCCAGATCTCCCATCATCATTAGCATAAACTTGGTTCCCCCAGGGACAACTAAGTCAGGACCAAGGCTGCTGTCACAGCACACACCCGGAGGGCCTGGCAGGTTCAGTGCATGAATGGAGCAGGATGAGGATAAGAAAAGAAATTCAGAAAACCCAGGGCTCCTCTAGGACAACCATTTCTCAGCTCCTGACAATGGCTGCCAAGAAGGATACAGGCCTTGGGTAGCCATGCGTTCCAAGATAAGACTTAAACCTGGGGTTCCATGTGATATCTTCCAAATTGGAACTAAAACACATCTTTAAGACTACCATCGGACAAACCAAACTCATTCAAGACTGGTTACCGCCGTCAGCCTCCAGGTTGCATCCCCTGCCTTTAGTGTTTTAGGAATTTGACTCTACTGCGCCCCTAGTGGACTGTCTCAGAAGTTCATCCGGAATAGAGGTGCCATGGCCTTGCTCTCCTGAGAAAAGACACATTCCTTTGTTGAATGTGGGTACCCCCAGTGTTTGTATGGTAGTTATCTTTTGTTGTGCCACCACACTTGGCACACGCAAAGCCCTCAATAAACCCTTAACAAGTGAATCAGCAAATATGCTAGAGCTAAGAGCAGTTAAACCACCTTCCCAAGTCAGCTGTGGAGACCAATGATTTTAACTAGAGGCGGTGAAGACACACACCTGTAATCCCAGCACTAGAGAGGCTGAGGTAAGTGCATCTTCAGTTTGAGGCAACCCTGGGCTACATATCACGACCCTGAGTCAGGGCTGGGGTCATGGTTCAAGTGGTAGAAGACCTGTCTAGCAATGTATGAGGCTATGAGTTCAAATCCCAGTACCACAAAAAAAAAAAAAGACCAGGAATTTTAGCCCAGCTACTCTGCCTCCATTCCTTGTCTAATGCTTGTTTGTTTGTTTATTTATTGACTTACTTATGAGTATACATATTTGTTTGAGAAGAGTCTCATTATGTAGCCCAGGCTGGCCTGGAACTCCTGATCCTTCTGCCTCTGCCTCCTGAGTGCTTTGATGACTGCACTGCCCATGATGAAGGCCTACCCAAAATGTCCTTCTGAGAATCTTACTCAGAGCACTTGGGCCCCAAATCTACAAAACTAGATAATCCCTTAGTCTCACCCAACCCTGCAGTGGCACTAATCCTCCAGTGCTCCCTGACTGGAAGTGAGAGCAGTTCCCTAAAACCCCACCCCAGGAGCTGGGAGGAAGGTTTCACCTCTCTTCCTCTCCCAAGAAGGGTTACCTGCCCCTGAGTCCCACAGTCTCTCTCGTGCTTCTTATTGGGCACAAATCAGATTCCCAAAAGACCCAGGTAAACCACAGGACCCCTTGAAAAGGCCATCCTGATCAGGCCCCCAGTGGCATGGCATTGTTTGAAAACCCCACAGAGTGACCAGCCACTCAGCAGCTTCCTTAAGCAGTGGAGATCTCCTGCTCCTGTCTCTTCTGAAATCAGGTGGCTGGGAACCACAGGGACAGTCTGCTGAGAATGAAGACAGTGCAAGTCATAACATGGCTGTAATCAGAGACCAAACCTCCCTCTGCTTACCTGATATGTGAGGCCCTAAATAGATCCCTTCCTGTATCTGAGCCTCTGCTTCAGCATCTGTAAAGTAACCCAGCAGAACCAAGCCCTTCCAGCTCTGCAGCTCTGTGTCTTTTCTGAGAATTTTTTTGTGTTATAATGGTTCCCAGGATCAGCGGCACAACCCAGTGCAAACACATACACAAAAACAAAATTAAACTTTAATATTTAATGAACTATATACATTATCCTGCTGCCCAAGGCGGCCAAATTGTAATTTTCTCAAGGTAATTTAATTTCAGATTTATATCAATGAACCGCACCTCCCCATGGGATCTTTTTGACTGGTACCCTCTCCTGCACATGAACCAGGCTCTAATTTACATGGGAGTCACAGTGTCAGATCCTTGCAGAACCTAGATGGGAACCATCATCACAAGGTTTGGGCAGTAACTCTTTGTGGCATCTTAACGGTATGAGGTTAAATGTTAAAAAAAAAAAAAATGGAGTCTAAGGCTAAATGAGAGGGAAAAAAACAGGCTTTTGTTTAGATGGAAGTGAAAATGAAGCAGATTTCTGCTTGGCATAAGGGGAAGAAAACTAACACAAATTGCTAACCAGCCATGGGAAGAACTACTCAAGACAGAGTGAGCTCCCCACTGCTGGAGGTGCTCAGGTACCAGCCCTGAGTGGGGAGCTGGACTGTTGAGTGGTCTCCAAATCTGACTGTCATGAGAATCATCCAAGTAGTCCATTAAGTAAACTCTGGGCTAGTTCCAGAGATTTGGAGTCACCAAATGTGGTGCTGGGCCAAGAAATCTGTAATTAAACAAGTTTTTCAGGTGATTCCACTACAGATAGCTACAACTGCACATCAGTTTGGGAAGCAGTTGGTGAGGTGATCGATAAAAAAAAAAAAAAAACCTTCCAGCTCTGAAATCTTGCAACCTAGAAATTCAAATGGATTTGGAATGGTAACTTCCGTAAGAGAATTCCAAACCGCTGGAGCTAAGAACAACGCCTAGGTCAGGAGCTCCCCTCCTCCAGATGGATGGGAGAACGAAACCTAGAAAAATGGAAGAGGTCTGTGGGCTGGAGTCATGTCTAAATCCCACGGGTTCTCACACCCCCTTGAAGAAAGTTCTTACCCCAAGACTAAGCCCCTCCTTTCCACCAAGGAAATCTTGGCCAAGTTTAGGTGCAATGGTTGGGGTACCCTTTTAGGAGGGACAGAATGGAGAGGACTCAGAGGATATAAAGATATCTACTTCCTTTTTCCACAAGCAGAGAACTTTGGTTTAAGGCCTGGCCTTACCACTTGTTAGCTAAGTGAGTCTGAGTGAGTCACTAAAGCTTTCTGTGCTCATTTGTGAAGTAGGGACAGTCATTCTGCCCTGCTACCCTTGGTGCCTCATGGGGATCAACGAAAAATGCAAATATTCACAAATTGCAAATTGCATTTTTCATGTGAAGGATTATGACCTATTAGACAAGCAGTAACTCCCTTCAAGGTCAGTTTAAGGACAGCAACTTTCTGAAGTCTTTCCTCCTCATTTTTTAATGCCTTTCTCACCTGGACTCTACTGCTTTCTCCCTCTTACCCATGGTTTTGTCTTCTCTTTAACTATTTTATGCTGGTCATCTTGTTGACCTGTGTGATCTTGATCATGCCTTTTCCTTCTTCTGAGCCTCTTTCCTTATAGCCACAAAGATGGCCACCTTGGGAGTTAACCAAATTAAACTCAAACCTTGGCTCCACCATTTACTAGCAAGGTGGCCATGGACAAACAATTTAGCCTCTCTGACCCTCTGTTTCCTCATCTGTACAATACAGGTATTAACCAAACTTCTCACGGAGCCTTTGAGAGGATGCAGTAAGATGTTAATAAAACTCAGCAGAGCAACAAATGCTTTAATGCTTGGAAATTGGTAACTGCTGTAATTAACAGCATGAAATGAAGAGACTGGGCTTCAATTAGGCAGAATTCCCTCCAGCAATGACATAGCAAAGCAGTGGACCTTCCTCCCCTCCTTTTCAAGCCTGTACAGTAGGAGTGAGAAAATTGCCTGGACCATATTTACAAACCCTTGGTGGACTTCCCTTGAGGTTCCCTCTGGATTCCTCAGCTGGTAATTCCCATCATCACCCTTTCAGGCAATCATTCTTGGTTCACAAGTTCAAGGCAAAGAACTTGCTGTTCCTTGCAATTCCCAAGATGGTCTCCAAATGTTGTAGCCATAAATACATTTCAGACAAATTAGAAGGCAGCCGATGGGATTTCAACCATATGGCAGGATGATGAATCATCCTGTGTTAATGAAAGTACGTCTCTACTCAGCCTCTGGGGTTCTGTACCTGCTGCTCACCTGGGGACAAAGGAGTCTGGCAGAGAGACGTTCGATGCAGGCTACAAATACCAGGTGCTTGAGGATGGGGTGGAGGGCAAGTAAGGGGCTCCTCCACCAGGGGGATCTGTCTCCGACATCAGAATTCCAGGGATGGGTCCTATCTTGTGGGCTTCTTTATGGCTGTAAGACTAAGCAGGAATCTCTCTTGATTGGCAGGTCCCCCGGTGAACGTGAGCTGCAATATTTTCATCAACAGCTTTGGTTCCATTGCTGAGACAACCATGGTGAGTGAGTCAAAATACAAGCTGCTCTTTCCTGCTGGGGACATATCGCTCTTCCTGAAATATTTATCCTCTGCATCAGTCTTTCCCATGGAGGTGGAGAATCAGGTGTTTTTGTCAGGTCTCCAGTGTTTTTACTATCCTGTTGGATGCTTTGGGTAAAGATATAATATGTCAAAATGGTTAAAGCACTAACACCCAGGATTACAAAACAAAATTATAGAGGGTAATGGGGGATGGTGACTATGATCAAAGCATGCTATATGAATGTTTGAAAATGTCCCAATGAAGCCCATTATTTTGTACAATTAATAGATGCCAATAATTTAACGTTAAAAATTATTCAGAAGGCTAAAATTTTAGATTAAAAGAAACTGTGAAGACCTGGTTAGAAGGAAAATTCAACCGCAAAATGGCAGGTGAAGCTGGGCATGGTGGCTCAAGCCTATAATCCTAGCTATTTGGGAGGCTGATTTGGGAGGATCGAGGTTCAAGATCGGCCTAGGGCAAATAGTTCCTGAGACCACCATCTCCAAAATAACCAGAGCAAAATGGACTGGAGGTATAGTTCAAGAGGTAGAGTGCTTTATAAGGGCAAAGCCCTGAGTTCAAAATCTAGTCCTACCAAAAAAAAAAGACAGAAGACTACTGGTGGTAGAAGCTGAAATGATAGATTGGGTTATTGTGCTATTTGCCCTATTTGGGGATGTATTTAAATTTTTCTACAATAAAAAGTTTAAAATCAGTTATACTGGAAAAAAATAATAATAATAGAAACAATAGGTGTTAGTAGTAATTATCTCTGAATAATTACAGCTGATTTTTATTTTCTTCTTTCAGTATTGCTATGTTTTTCAAATTTCCAAAAGGTTGCATACCACATTACTAATTATAAGTATATGTAGTGACACTTTAAAAGTTTTCTCAGCCCTTGAAAACAAAAAAATCAATTGTACTCATGTGAGGAGACCATGTAGCTTGTGAAAAAATAAGTCAGGACAGCCTAAGGTCAGCCTGAGGAGCAGAGTGAGATGAAGCCAGCCTTGCAGCAAGTCCTACACATGCCACTGCCTTCCATGTCTCTTTGTTACCCACCTGCTGCTACTCTGGCCCAGGCTACCATCATGGCTTTCTCTTGTCACTGCAAAGGGTTCTTGCCAACTCCATCTTGCTCTCCATTCTTTCTCACACAGCAGTCTTTCTAAAGTGCAAATCTAACCACACCAGTCCCTTGCTCAAACACTCCCATGGCTTCCAGTCACCTTCCGCACTAAACCCAAATTCCTTTGCAAAGCTTAGAAGGCCCCTGGTGATCCTGCCTTTGTCACCTCTTCTCTCTCCTACTGCACTCTCTTGTCACACCCACTGCTCAGTGTCCTCTGCGCAAGTGGCCTCTCCCTCTCCCTCAGGCTTTACCCGGTTCCGGTGATAGAACTGAGCTTCTGCCCAGAATATCTGCTGCAGCCTCCCTTCTCTTACCAGCTCCTGTTCTCATTACTCCACATAGAATTGCCTCCATAGGCAGCTGTCACACTGACATGAGTGTACATGTGTGTGTTGTGTGTGTGTGTGTGTGTGTGTTCTCATGTGTGCTTGACTCAAGGGCGGAATGGCTCCCTTCTGTCTATTCTCAAGACAAATTTTACAGCTCCCACAATGACACTTAGCAGTGCACCAGCCTGGCTGCTCATCCCTCCTGTGACTGTAATGTAGGTTTTTGGCAGGCTGGAGTCTTGTCTCATTTCCTGCAGTTCCCTCAGCAACTGGCACAGTGATTCGATAACAGGTATTCAATCATTTTGTGCAATAAATAGATCAAGCTGGATACATCGTTTGTCAATGCAAACCATCATTTTGTCCTAAACATTGATGAAGATTAGCGCCAACTTTTCAGTCCCATACTGGCAGATATTTCTGAGCTCTGTAGGTCATGGGGCAAACAGTCCAAAATCTGTTCTTTTGCAGAGACTTGTGTCAACAGAGTCAAGAAGATGCTGTGCACAGTTCAAGGTTAATTGATGAAATAAAGCTAACTGGCCTCTTCTCTCCAAATAGAGCTGATCCCACCTGTGAGCTAAGAACAAACATGGCTGCTCTTCACTGGGTATTGAGGTCAAACATCAAGCTTTTGTATACCTTGGATGAATGTCTTACCAGAACTCTTAAGGGCCCCTCTGCTTTCATCCTTTCTTCCCAAATGAGAAGCATGTTGACATTTGCATCATTCAGAATCTTTGTGCAGCAAGGGCTGGCACTTCCACTCTTCCTACACAGTACATGGTTATCAAACTAAGGCAGGGGCTGGACCACCTGGTTAGGAAAAGGACCTGGCTATTTGGGAATAGGTGCATGGATCTGCACTTCCCCTCACAGTGAGAAAACAGAACCAGGTGTCAGTGGCTCACACCTATATTCCTAGCTACTCAGGAGACAAAGAGCTGGAGGATCTTAGTTCCAAGCTAGCCCAGGCAAATAGTTCACGAGACCCTATCTTGAAAAAACTCATCACAAAAAAGGGCTGGTTGGTAGCTCAAGTGGTAGAGTGCCTGCCTAGCATGAGATCCTGAGTTCAAACCCCAATACTTCCAAAGAAAGAAAGAAAGAAAACAGATTCATCTCCTTACTATAGATTCCTAAAAGAATAAGAACACGTCTGTTCCATAGAGGTTAAAAGCCCAGCTCTGGAGTCATACAGACCTGAGCTTGCTCTCTATCTGTAAGGAGCTTATTTGCTTCCTGTCTTTTTTTCGGGGGGAGGGGGATACTGGAGTTTGAACTCAGGGCCTCAGGCTTGCTAGGCAGTGCTCTACCACTTGAGTCATTCCACCAGCCCTGTTATTTTTCAAGATAGGGTCTTGCGAACTATTTTCCTGGGCTGGCTTTGAACTGCAATCCTCCTGATCTCTACTTCCAGAGTAGCTAGGATTACAAGCATGAGCCACCAGCACCGGTTTGCTTCCTGTCTTTATGCCTCAGTTTCCTCATCTGTAAAACCCCAATGATGATTGACATGCTGGCCTCATCAGGTTAATCTGTATGGTATGTGAAGGAAAACACTTCTCACAGTAAATGCTTTGTACACGTTCACTAAATGTTTTGATGATGATGATGATGATGATGACAATGACAACAATGGGAACGTTGGATACTGAAGCCCAACGTGGTCACTGTGTAGGGTCAGTGTGTGGTCTTGAGCACTCCTTAGACTCAGTGTATCTTGATTTCTTCTCCTCCTTCTCTTCTTCTCACCCTGTGTCTTCTGTCTCCCTTACCACTTCACTCCTGCTACATATTAATTTCTAGAGACAGTGGAGTGAGAAGTTAGGGTACTGTCATCAATATCCAGACAAAATCTAAGGCTCAGCTCTGTGAGCATGGGCAAGGTCATCTTGGTCTGCTTTCTTGTCCGTGAGATGGAAATGCCACTAGCACCCACCTCATGGGCAGAGCAAGGCACACCACCAGGGAAGTCAGCCATAGTTACTAAGTGCCATGTGGCACTCTCCACTGTCTCCACATTGCTCATTTAGTTCCTTCACTGAACTCTGGGTCTTAACAACCACTCCACTCACACTGTGGTCCCCATTTTCCAGCTGAGGAAACTGAGACTTGGAGAGATCACATCACAGAGCCAGTCAGGGACAGCAGGAGGGCAAGACCCAATTCTTAGACCCTGTAGGTAAGTGCATGTTCTGTACCACACTGTCACAACAGTAAAGAGCACAGACTCAAGCCCACAGGAGCCTGGGACCTACAGAGCACTCTCAAGCAGCCACCTCAGTGTGATCCAAAGTGGGGTTCACCAGGCTCAGCCAGTGACTTCAGGGAAAACAGTTAACCCTGATGATGGCAAGAACCATTAAGAGAAGCTCAAAGAGATGCTCCCCTAAGATAAGTACAGTAATCTTTAGAGAGGAAGTGATGGGTAGGCCATAATGTACTTTCTCAGGAGTGGTTCAGAGGTGATGGGCTTTGCTCCCTGTTTATTAAGGGAGGCCAAGAGCAGGGCAAAGGTGGTTGCTTTATGGCTCACACACTCTACAGTACTGTGATTTTTTTTTCACCAGCTTCTTTGGTGATACTGGGGGCTTTGTTGTAGCTGTTGTTTGGCAGTACTAGGGTTTGAACTCAGAACTTTGTGCTTGCCAGGCAGATACACACTTGAGCCAGGCCCCCAGCCCATTTTGCTTTGATTATTTTTGAGATAGAGTCTCCCAATTTAGGCCCTGCTGGCCTGGGCTGTGATTCTCCTATCTACACTCCTGTGTAGCTAACACATCAGCCATGCCCCACCACACACAGATTTGGTTGAGATGGGGTCTCTTGAACCTTTTGCCCTAGCTGGCCTTGGACCTCGATCCTCTCAATCTCCACCTCCCTGTTTATTTGAAAAGTTTATTTTACTTTGCAAATACTTTAGGGAGAAAAAGAAAAACCCTGAAATCTCAGACCTAGAAGAAAAATCTGTAGAAATTGTCTAAGCCAGTCCTTTACAGAGAGGGGATCTGATGACTAGAGTGGTAGGGCCACTTGAGCAAGATCTCACAGCACCAAACAATGTGGCAGAAACCAGGCCACTGCTCTCTGCGGTAACCCAGGGTTCCCCTCCCTTTACCTTGTTTCTCCCTACATCTTACCAAACAGAGCCCTGGGACTCTTTCCCATTCACACCTCTTTCCTGGTCACTCAAAGTGTTCCTGGGGACCAAGACTGGACTCACATTAATATAGTAGAAAGAACAGCAGCTTGTTCATGAAGAATGATTTAGATACACAGAGTCTGTGCCAGCCTATGTGCAAAGCATTTGTACATTTATTATCATATTTAGGCCTCTCATAGCCCCCACAAGGGAAGAAATGTTGCCCCAGTTTGTAAGTGAGGAAACTGAGGATCAGAAACCTTATTTTTTTTAACCTAAAGATTCACAGCTAAGTGGCAGAGGTAGAATTTGAACTCGGCACTCTCTCACCCCAAAGCATATGGCCACAAATAAATAGTGAATT